ACTCTCTAAACCTTCCCCATATAGTTTTTATTCGTTGAAGTTTTTAAAAATAAAAGCGACTATAGCTTCGGCGTACTGCCATCATCAGGCGATGTGAAATTTAACAGGAAAACGGTAAGTTACAAACGTTGAAGACGAATAAGACGAACATGTTGTTTTTTAATTATTAACTGGCCGAAGCCAAGTGAAAAATCCTGAAGGGTGGTTAAACCGGAAAGGTTGTCCTAAGTTTCAAAACGAATTATTATCAAGCCTTGTTAAGAGTAAGACAACCAACCGGAGGGTTGAATTATTACATTAAAAGTTGAAAGTTGAATTTAACACATTTCAAAAGAACCGGGGGAAAAATTAAACTTATAAAAGTTTTGAAAACTATTGAGCTGACTACATATTTAAATTATTTAAGTAAGTGTAACTTCGAGATCATGCAGACGGCATGTCTAGAAATGATTGACAATCCGGTATATGTCAATCATTCATCATCACTAATGGTACTGGCTGACAAGGCATTATGTATACTATTTGATTCCAATTTGAGCAAAAAATATTGGGCTGAAGCAATGAGTACTGCAATATACTTAAAAAATCGTTCTCCAACAACTGCGGCCCTACAAGGAGCTGTACCTGTCAAGAGATACATTTATATCATTTAAAAGTTTTTGGAAGTAAAGCTTTTGTTCATATCCCAGATTAAAAGGTTTCATAAAAAATACAAAGGGTTATCGTTTATTAGATGTAGAAAATCCAAGGAATATTATTATAGCGAGAGATGCGGTTTTTATTGAACATGTAAAAGAAAACAAGGAAAACGTTCAAGAATGCCAGGATATCATTGTTGATGAACCAATAAACGTTGAAATACAAAATATTCAAGAACGTCGTGATATCGCTGATGATGAGTTACAAGATGAGACGTTCGAAGAAATTCCAACGGAAAATTTAATTGATGAGGAATTTAAGGAACGGAGACATCCTTTAAGAGAAAGAAAAGAAAAGGTAGATAAAAATATGATCTATTCGTTTTGTATCTCTAATTCCGAAGACCCACAAAATGTAACAGACATGAACTCAAGAGCATACAAAGGATTATGGTCTGAAGCAATAAGAGAAGAGGTGACAATAATGGGAAAATTGGTAAATATAAAGCTCGTCTTGTGGCTAAGGGATTCTCTTATCGCAAAAGTATGGTTTGGATTATAATGAGGTTATTCACCAGTAGTGAGGTACTCTTCTATCCGATACTTGGTAGCATTAGCTGCAAGAAATGACATGAAAATCGATCATATGGATGCAGTAACTGCGTTCCTTCAAGGAGATTTATCCGAAGAAATATACATGGAACAACCTGAGAATTTTGAAAATGGTATTAGTAAGGTGTGTAAGCTAAAGAAAACGATATACGGTTTAAAGCTGTTTCATGTTTGTATTTATTAAACACTATTATTTATAAGATCTTTATTTAAGGATGATTACAACGTTACAACTTAACATGACAATACCTCCATGACTATACATAGTAACTATCAGGTCCACCAACTGATACCAACCTTAGTTATATTGTTACACCCTTTCACTTAAGCTAATTTGACAGTAAAGGTTAGTAAATAATACAAATTTAATATTACATAACATAATCGGAATATTTTGCTGGTAACTTCCAAGATTGGGCTACTAGTTCAAAGGTTACAGCCCTTTGAATTTTTTCTCGAATTTTGTTTTTTGCCCATAACTTTTGATTGAGAAGTCTAATCGAAAAAGTACGAATCGTTTTGGATTCTACGCCCCAAAATTAATAAGAAAAAGTGTTTTCCCGAGAAATTTTGGTGTAGTCGATTTTTTTGTAAAAAAGGAAGGTTTGTACACTGCCTTTTTTTTGACCCGAAGAAAAAAATATCTCAGATCGACCCGAAAAAAATTTTTCCTATGGACTGTGGCCTGTAGAATCCATAATTTCAAACAGTTCCCAGATTGGGTTACTAGTTCAAAAGTTACAGCCCTTTGAATTTTCTTTCGAAATTAGTTTCTAGTCTATAACTTTTGATTGAGAAGTTTAATCGAAAAAGTACGAATTTGCTTTGGATTCTACGCCCCAAAATTAATAAGAAATAGTATATTAAGATACAAGTGTATAATCAAGTCTTTAAAGCACGCGCAACGAGTTTAAGGGCACGACGCAAAGCGGAGTGCCTTTAACGTTGCAAGTGCTTTAAAGACCAATTATACACGTGTATCTTATAGTATTTTTTATTATACCTGCAGTATAATTTAAAAATAGGAAATACAATGAAGTCATATTGACGTTATACTCGAATACATGTCTAATTAAGTGGGCTGGGTGTTCGTAATTTCACGATTGCCATGGAAATGTCACTTGACGTTTGCTTATAAAAATCATCGTCTTTGTGAATTAAACGATTTCCGTTGAAAAAGATAATACACCGTCCATTAAATCGATTGTTATAAAATCTAAACAAACGTTGGTAGGTGTAAAATCCAAATCCAGTAAAGCCTATTATAAAGAATATGAAAAGTTGTTTCCATGGATGAATAGGAAGTTACTTACGAATACAGTCTTAAATGCATCCATAATGCTGGCATATATGAAGGAAATGTCAAAGGTATTTAAATCTCCTATATTCTGGTGCATTCATTCAAAACTTTAAAGCAATGCTGTGATTAAAAAGTGGAACAGATTTGGAAGCATACCCTAAATTACGCGCGGTTGTGAAAGTTTCAACCAAAGGATAGGTACAAAAGCCAAAGAAATGTTCTGCATTTACAGAAAGCGACCTAAGAGGATTTTTTATTTCATCCACATGACAGTTTCAAAAGTCATACTTGAAGTATCGTTACTTAGCAACTTTAAAGCACGTGTGTTTTAAAGGCCCTTTTTCGCACGCATTTGAGTGTTTAAAACGGAGATTGTGATTCAGGTATAATAAAAAAGTGTTTTCCCGAGAAATTTTGGTGTAGTCGATTTTTTGTAAAAAGGAAGGTTGTACACTGCCTTTTTTTGCCCCGAGAAAAAATTGTCTCAGATCGACCCGAAAAAAAATTTTCTTATAGACTGTGGCCTGTATAATTTCAAACAGTTCCAAGATTGGGCTACTAGTTCAAAAGTTACAGACAAGGGTATACCTAATCTAGAAAATATTTCTTTGAAATGATCAATTGCTTCTTTGGAATCTTTATACCTCAATTTCTTTAACTCAATCCACTTACTAAATGAATCAATTACTACTAGGTATTCCGAACCTCCATAATACAAAATATCAGCAGCAATTCTAGACCAAGGCCTTTCAGGGCACTGATAAGGTAATAATGTTTCTTTTTGATTATATCTTTGATTCTTTTCACAAATTTTGCAATTACGTATATATTCATAAATGTCTTTCGACATTCCGCACCAATAAAGTAATTCCCTAGCTTTTGTTTTAATTTTCTCAATACCTAAATGTTGTTCATGTAACAATTTTAAAATATACAATTTTAATTTGTTTGGTACCATAATTTTTTCATTCAAAAATAGAATTCGTTCATATGTGGTTATATCATGCCTCAGTATCCAATAATGTTTTACAGTCTTTGTTAAATTAACAGTTATCAGACCATTTATTTTCACACATGTATAAAATTTGCCTTAGTCATTTGCAGTTTCTTTTTGAAATTATGCTTTTTTTCTATCTGAAATGGGAATATATTTGGTCAAACCGTGAACAACAAAATTTAACTGATTATGAATGTATGGGTCAATTTCTTTTATGTATGATCGTGATAAATAGTCAGCTATATACATATATTTTCCTTTTAAATATTTAATTGTAACATCATATTTCAATAAACCCAATCGCATTCTTTGTAACCTTGCAGAAATTTGATTAATTCCTTTCTTGAAAATACGTTCTAAGGGTTAATGGTCTGAATTAATAATTACTGCCCTACCATAAATGTAGTAGTGAAATTTTTCACAAGCAAATACAATGGCAAGCATTTCCTTTTCAATCTGGACATAGGCCTGCTCACTTTTATTAAGAGATCGAGATGCAAATGTTACAGGTTGTGAGTTTTGCAACAAGCATGCACCTAAACCATTAATTAATTAATTAATTAGTAAATGCACTTCAATCATTTGGTTTATTAAAATCAAATATGGACACGTGTGTTTTTGTTCCAAGAGATAAGCGATTGATTGTGTCCACTTATGTGAATGACATTCTCATTTTTGAGGAATGAAAATGCAAAAAATGAGTTAAAATCGGCATTAAATTCGAAATTTAAAATGATAGTTATCGGTGTTGCAACCAATGGTATTGGATTTCAAATTACGTATCAAGATGATGGGATATGTCTTGACCAATCAAGATTATGCTGTGGAAGTACTTCAACGATTTGGCATGTCGAATTGCCAATCTGTATCTAAACCAGGTTTAGCACTTTCACTTGATATTTGTCCTAAGAGTGAAGTTAAAAAGATCGAACTGAGCAAAATACCATATCAAGAAGTGGTAGGAAGGTTAGACCGGATCTTGCATTATGTTTGTGCCATCACTAATGCCCAATTATACTTAACTTTAAGCGATACTTAATTTGAACGGTGCAATTGGCCGTAAGAGTTCCTAGCTACAGATTGTGTGTGTATACAAGTAGCGAATAGTGTGCAATAGGCTTTAATGCAAAAATTTCTGAACTCTAATAAGCATTTTTTTGCAAATAAACCGTGTGGGAGATAAAAACTCAAAGCAACTATAACACGAATGAGGAGGAAAGTTTTTGGGCATTCTGTTGCCATGCAAAATAGCCAAACCCTATATGGGGATGAGAAATGAAAGCCTGATCTCAACAATTCGCCATATCGATCAATATCGCATGGGGTTACGAATAAATAAAATCGAATATTCTGTTATAAACGTATCATCAGATCTTTGCGTTATATGTCAGTATTATTTGAAAAGAAAATTTGGGTGCGGTTACTGATCGTTTCCCTATAACAAAGGCGTAGATTTGTAAAAATATTTATTGTAACAGTATACATAACAATGAAATAAAACATAACAAAATGTAAGTTTCACATAATAGCGTTTGGCAGCGGAATTGTTTTTCATAATATCGCTGCCAAATTTTGTCCTGAAAAATTATATCATTAGTGGAGACGATACTGGCTATGACCATTGAATACTTATTTTTTATTCAATGCTATGACATAATATAGTGCTGACAGTTGTAGGCGATTATTCACCTCAAAGTTTATTGTGTAAAAATGTTATTTTTTAATACCTTATCATTTTTCCGGCCGAACATCTAACCGGTAATTTCACTGCTGTTCTAGATTATAGGTATGGTTGTGCCATTTCGTACAATGTTACCGTTTTCCTTCAATTCCAAACTGTCCCAAAAAGCTTTGGCACTAATTTCGACATTTTCCACCATATTACAGTCATCGGCGTCATGCATCAATAAGCAATTCAACTTTCCTGGCGTCACAGGCTCCCAATGTACCCCATCCGCCCCTGGTTTACTAAATTTACTCTTACAGATTATCGTCATTTTTAATCAAGATATTCTCACCCATTCTTCGCGTACGACACAAGAAAGTCCAGCAGCAGGTTCTTCATCTCCGTTTCAGGTTTTGATAGCTTGATATCTCGTATAGGTTTCAGATCGTGTAACAAAGCGACATCGTCCCCATGCATGACTCCTATAAAAACATAATTATGATTGCATTACGGGATAGGTACTATAGGTAATTACCCTCAACAGCTAAACCAAACAATTTGACTAAACCCTCAGTTTTGTTGAATTTGTATAACCCGGCGTACACTGGTGATTTTCCAAACTTCGCCTGCATTATTACAGCCCGCTCAAATCCCACATTAAAATATCGGTCACTCATCAGCTACAATCAACCGATAGTAAGTGCGTTAAGCGATAGTATTTACGTACATCAGTGAATTTGTTGATATTATCTTGGCAAAGTTTCTCGTCCTGGAAGTAGTAAGACTTAATTCTTCGGGCGACCGCCTTTTTCTGGCTTTCAGCCACAGCATATTGGTAGTCGAACATGTAGGGCGACCATTCATCCCAGTGCTTCTCAATTTCAGCGTAAGATGCAGGCGGTTCTACAAGAGCAACTTGTTCATAAACTCTAAAGGGTCCGTTAACTTGGCCCCCCCCCACTGAGAGATTTGATAGTCGTATTATTTTAAAATGAATGCGCTCGTTATGCGCTCATATGCGCCACCGATAATAACTCTTGCGCCATTATCGTTTTTTAGAAATCCGAAAAAACATTTGGGGGGGCCAAGTGAACGTAGCCCCCCCCAGTACGTATTTTGTCCCTTGTAACTAGGTCACCTGATACATTTGGTTATGAGCTCAATTGCGCCACTTGAATTAAAGCTAGCGCCATTACGGTTAAGCCGTGACAAATTTTCAAAAAGCGGGGGGGCCAACTTAACGTTTTTAAAAGTTACTTTTTTTTAACATTTTTTTATACGAAATTGTACTCTCAGGTATGCGCTGAAATGCGCCGTAAAAAGATATCTTTGCGCCAGTCTTGTTTTTTGGTTATCCTTAAATATATTTGGGAGGGGCCAAGTGAACGGAACCACCCTTAACGCATTTTGCTACCGGTATTTGTGCCACTCAATACATCTGGTTATGCGCTCAATTGCGCCACTTGAATTAAAGCTAGCGCCATTACGGTTAAGGCATAAAAATTTTTTTAAAAGTGGGGGGGGGGCTAATTTAACGTTTTCAAAAGTTACGTTTTTTAACATGTTTTTTTTGTACTACATCGTACCTTTCACCATGCGCTAAAATGAGCCGTAAACATAAATCTTTCCGCATTATAGTTTTGAGAACATTTTTTAGTACCCATAGAACTATAACGCTATTCATTTTAAGAAGGTAGCGGTAGAAAGCATAGGGACAGTTTAACCTTCACTGTGATTGGTTAAAAGTTGGTTTGGAGTCGATGCATTATGCCGCAATGTAGTTCATGTATTAACGATCCTCGTGATAGTTTATAATTTTGTATTGCTGTATGTCTGCCCGTCTGCCTGTGCACGATAACTTTGTTTAGAAACGTCCGGTCGCTTTCAAAATTGGTACACATGTTCTTAAGGATATAAGAAAGGTCGCTATTGTTTTTTAGTTCCGTAGACAAACGGGCCAAACAGTTACAGCCCAAAAACTGCTCGAACCTTCAAAGAATGGTATCTTTTATAATAATCTGCATCCGCCATTTCTTTTCTTAAAGTCAAAATAACTTAAAAACCATAAATGGTAGATATCAAAAGAACTGAAATTTCACGTAGAATCCAAAAATGTAATAAAAATAGGGGTTGCCATTTAAAATAACGAAGTTGCGCCCATTTTGAAAATATTTTACATCGATTCGGTCTTCGGAGTAACTCCTAAGTACAAATTTTTAGAAACCTACCTATTTTACTTTCCCAGAAACGTTTAACTAAAGCTCCCAAAAAAACACCCTGTATAGTTCTTCTGAAGCACTATAATGGCGCAAAGGTTTTTTAGTTTACGGCGCATTTTAGCGCATGATGAAAGGTACGACGTAGTAGAAAAAACATGTTAAAAAACGTAACTTTTGAAAACGTTAAGTTAGCCCCCCCCCACTTTTTAAAAATTTTTTATGGCTTAACCGTAATGGCGCTAGCTGTAATTCAAGTGGCGCAATTGAGCGCATAACCAGATGTATTGAGTGGCACAAATACCGGTAGCAAAATGCGTTATGGGTGGTTCCGTTCACTTGGCCCCTCTCAAATATATTTAAGGATAACCAAAAAACAAGAATGGCGCAAAGATATCTTTTTACGGCGCATTTCAACGCATACCTGAGAGTACAATTTCGTATGAAAAGATGTTAAAAAAAAGTAACTTTTAAAAACGTTGGCCCTCCCACTTTTTGAAAATTTGTCACGGCTTAACCGTAATGGCGCTAGCTTTAATTCAAGTGGCGCAATTGAGCGCATAACCAAATGTATCAGGTGACCTAGTTGCAAGCGACAAAATACGTACTGGGGTTTTTTCGGATTTCTAAAAAACGATAATGGCGCAGGAGTTATTATCGGTGGCGCATATGAGCGCATAACGAGCGCATTCATTTTAAAATAATACGACTATCAAATCTCTCGGTGGGGGGGCCAAGTTAACGGACCCCTAAACTGGCAGCATTTCAATACGTAATGCGCTAAATATGATTCCTTCTTCCGATGTTATCCAGGTTAACCATGGGACGTTATTAACTTCTCCGCTTAACAATTGTTGGTATGGATGTTTCGTCATGAAGGAGGTATCTGTGTCGACCTCCACTACAGGTGCAAACGGAGACAATGGATAAATATTAAATCGGTAAATGTCTCTGGTTTTTAAAACAAGCTCTTCAACGGGAACCTGTTTCAAACAGTAAATCATATTTCGTATGTTGGCATCTTCACAATTTAACAAAGCAGCTAGTTTTTTGGCCTCCTTTAAGGCACCCTCCTGGATTGCCCAAGGCATTAGTACATTGCCACTTTGTGATATACCCTTGTGGAATAAACCTGTGTACAATAGTTTTAAACCATTACCCAAAACTCGTAGTTGCACTACCTCTAGATTTTGGAGAAAAGTAGTGAAAATGAACAGACGCACCGCCTGCCGATTGGCCCATCAGCGTAACTGAGTTAGGATTGCCTCCGAATTGTTTAATATGCGTTTGGATCCATTGAAGTGCCAGTTGCTGATCTTTAAGCCCATTATTACCCGGTACGGTTGTGTCTTCGACACTTAGAAATCCTGTAACACACAGAATAGAAGAATTAAGGTATCAATGGTATATTACCCAATGCTCCAACCCTGTAGTTCAAGTTGACGTATACAAAGTCGCGATCCATAATGATACCGGGTGGAGCCAGGTTACCGTCTCCATTCATAAACGCGCCTCCATGTATATTAACGACAACGTCAAAGCTATCGTTTTCAGATGGTTGATCTTTGGGGACGTAGACATTAAGATATAAGCAGTCTTCTTGGGCTGAAAAGATGCAGTGCTAATAATGAATGTTACACTACCAAGTATACCGACCTTTTTTCTCTTCCAAAAGCGGATGCCTGGTTTGAGAGCATACGAATAAGGTATTGGCATCCAGGGTTTTATTCCATGGACGTGCACTTCGAGGTGCCTATCAAGGATTTCTCATAAGTTATTATCTCTGTTGTGATATGTGTAAAAACGTTAGTCGGAAATGCACTTGTTCTTTGAGTTTGTTATTTAAGAAGTACCTAATCTTTGCAATCGGCAGCGATTTTTTAAGTGCAACAAAGAAATTCTTTTATTAGGGAATTGTGTACTAAATAGAGTGTCTACTTTATTAATTTAATCGATACGTTGGCGTTGTATCACACTTCTTACAGTGAACAATTTAAACATTATAAGAATACAAAGACATACAAAAAAAATTAATATTTTTACAAAACAAATACACTTAAGGATATGGCGTGCCTTACTAAAATATTTATTAATTAAAAATGGACGAATACAGAGAAAAATAAATCTTAAAAGTCCTCACTACTTGTTGTGAAAATTCAGGTTTTGAACTGTCAGCACTTGTACAGATGCGAGATAGATAGAACAATTTCAAAACGATAGACATGGTCGAATAGTGGCAGCTCGGGTACAAAACTTTTCTCTTGTAAAACAGCACGCGTGCTCACTTACACTTACAGCAAACCGAAAACTATCTCTTGTAAGTCGTTTTTTATTCAGTCAAATTGCCCATTGTAAATGAGATCGAATTTATTAATCTAAAATAGGAATTTCTAATAGGGAAATTTAAGAATAGCTTTCATTTCTTCATTATAATAAAGTTTAAAGGACAGATGAATTAATCCAGATAAATAAGGAGAAAACTCTAAGCGACGCGAGATTTGTTTTATTTATCAGTACAGCAGGAAATTAGAAATGGAACAAAAAAATTCAAGTATCAAGTAAAAATGAAAAGGAAGTTTTGAATTCGGAGATACTAAGAATTATTTCAGCTAGCTGCTGGTCAGTTAATTTTTTGTTCCAAAGAATTTAAAAAGATAACGCCTCACTCGTGTCATCTATGATGTTTTTTTACTCGCGACCCCTAGCATTTAATATGGCTACACTTGCAGAAGAACCGTGTAAGTACATAATTTTTCATTCAACCTCTAGATTCTAAGTGCTGCGATCTCAAGTCGTCGGACGGACGTCTAGAAAAATATGCTTAAAATGCGAAGAGTGCCAATTTTATTTAATACTGTAGCGAATAATCTAGAAACCCCGATAGACATCGAGGCGCCAATGAGAGATGAGTAATTGGAGATAAGAAACTAAGACGGATATGACGCATTCTTTCCGGGAAATATGGCGTGTTTGTTCTAGAACATTCTGAAGCGTTCTTGAGCTCTCGAGAATATTCCAAATAGATTGTTGTTTGCTATATAAGTAATTCTAATTGTGTTTTAAGTCACTTCCAACATCGAAGCGCTTGAGTTATGCTATAAATAGAGAATGATAAATAATAATTAAGTGGGATTCCCGTTCGACAAACCAAAACAAGCGTTTTGGGAACACTGCCGCGATGCATTGGGATGGGACAAATTTTTAGTTCATTTTTGGAAAAAAAATTCGCCATAATATTCGTTATGGCTGGCTGACTGACTGTCCGACTGAGATCTCAGCAATTACAATAGATAGGGACTTTAAATTTTCACTAAAAGCTTTCTGTTATAGTGTAGATGTGCAGGCTCTAGTCTATTTTGAGTTAGATTACTCGTGAGATCGATAATTTTAATCTCTGCTAATGAAATACTGATCTGCATTACCAAAAATGCGATTTCATCATGCATATGCTGATTTACAACTTGTTTATCTACTAAGCCTAAATATTTTTAATGATTTATTTAAAATTGGAAAGGGCATATCCCAAAATCTATTCAAAGACGTGCCACAATAGTCTGTGTAACTCTTATGGTTGCTGAGAAAAGAAATTCAAGCAGAAATACAAATTTCACCACTCTTGTGAGGGTTACTCAAACGAAACACGTTGGACCTTCGGTTAATTTGGATAAAGTGTAACACCCTGTATAAGAATCATCCAAACCTTAATGGCACTGTAACATTAGGGTTGTAAAGGCCCAAACAAAACTACACAAGGTAATTTCAGTCGGGGATTATCTTCGTTTTAAACACGCGGTAGTTACCGACAGTTTGACTATTTATTTACAGAAATTGTATGTAGTAAAATTAAACTCAAACTAATCAATTTACGTTATTATGTAGGAAATGTTTCTTGCTGAATCGTCAACACGTTGCATTCTGGTATTGGCATTTCCTTGATATCCTGCATTTCCTTATTTTTAATTCTTGACAATGTTATACTTAAATTGTGTAATTCCTTGTTGTTCGTAAAATTATATTTCCTTAACAATTGGTGGCCTTTCAAATCTGTTTTTAAGTAGCCTTTTATATTGATATTCAGATTCTGAATCTTGAAATTTTAAAACCTTTTGGGTATACGAAAATATTTTTTAAAGTTAACCATTTTATTTATAAAATGAGGGTAGGTTGGCTAATTGGCACATTTTTAGATTTTTTAAATGCATTTTGTGGTCATTCAGATTCAACGGAAATTTCACGGTTTACAAACTTTCTTTTAAGCGAACTTAGTCGTTGTATCTCGGATTTTTAATTAGAAAATTCCAGTACGCGCTAAGGATATCATAAATTTGAAGTCAGAATTCTAACTACCACAAGATCTATGCTGTTAAAATAACAAATATTTAAGATTTACTTTCGGGTTTAGACAAAGCTCTAAAAGTTTAAGATCATTTAGCGTAAAACTTAAGAAACTAAAAATTGGAAGTTAATGTTTTACGTTATAGGTACATTTACAATTTTAGAAATCGGTTTTTTAATAATCTTTAATTGGAATCATATCACAAGTTTTAAGCCTTCTTTGCGAATTTAAAGATATGAAGTCTGCGCAATTTAATATCTCATTCGGTTGAAAAGCTCATTTCTAAAATCTTTTTTTAAATGCATACTTTAGTACCTTCAACAGTATAACAGTTACCTTGCCTTTGTCATTTATGCATGTGCCAAATCTGTTTACAATTAAAAATTAAAGCCATTAAAGGTAAAGTGTAGCATCTTTCGAGGATTATTCTGTTCTTGTTTCAATTATGAAAACATGGTGGCAAACTAATAAATCAAAAGCATCTAGCTAGATTGATGAAGTTTAAAAGAACACGTAGGTAGGTACCTCAAATCGTAATTCTCCAACGGGCGGTTCTGCATAAGGAATACCTTCAAATGCGGAAAATCTACGACCCTCCAGCGAATACTTATGATATCCTCGAATGTTTCCCAAAGAAATGCGGACCAAAGGTGCAGCTGGTGGGTCAGCCAGTGAATCTAAAAAAAATAGGTCTATAATCTGCAAAACTATTCGAAATTAATATTGTTTACAAGTAATATAATATAACGTTAGTAGTAAATACATTCTTGAAATAATTTCGCACTTTTTTAGGCAACTACGTTCACTACTCGAAGAGTATGGTCTTCAACAAAACAATCGTTACCAATTGCGCTTGTAGTGGAAGTAATGATCTAGAAGTGGAGGGGTGGGAATATGTAATATACTCTGTCTTATAAATAAACTTGAACTCGTAATAACCTCTGTCACGCAATGCCATTGATTATTCCTAGTCTCCGTAGGGGATGTTTACTTCTACTACCTTTGGCAGAAGGAATCAGTTCGAAGGGGATGCTTAAATAATTGTTTCTGGTGTATAGTTTACCCAGGATGTGCACAAAAACATAGAACGTCGAAATTTGTAAATGCACAACATATTTAATAATGACATCCTTCGGAATACTGTCGATGGAAATCAGAAGTTGGTCCCTTAAGGTAAGTTTGGCACTATAACGTCCCACGTACTCAATCCTGAGTTGTTGCTTATATTATTAAATTGTAAATTTCGAACTTCGTTCCCTTAATGCATCAGAATCCAATTTATAGTTTATTAGTTATCCTGATATAGATGGTGCAATAACAATTGTTTCTTTCCGTCTTCCCATCTCATAGCATAACCCATTGCCCTATTTTCGAAAAGATATTAACTTCTTATCATATAATCTACCTGAGGACAAAGTAATATCGAGGTATACCGTAGTAATTATCAATATGTACATAACTTTGTTTACCACATTTCAAAATAAAATCGATATGGCATTGATGCGAATGAACTCTGCTATTACACCTCATTGTCACCTAACTAATGAAAGTTCATTACTTGTGAATGTTAATTAGCAGAAGCTTTAAATGATTTAATAGCAACATTATCTAACAGAAATGTATGTAAATTAGGCCTTACCCACTAGACAATTAAATTGGGTAGGTAAGTTAACAGATTACTTTGACATTATGCAACATTTAACTCCACTATTAATACAATTGATTATAAAACTACTAGAATTAATTATGGAGTTAATAATAACTGGGATAGGTCTAACCAATAGGTTGGTTAAGTTTGCACCAATGTCTTTGCAGTTACTATAACACTTTCGATATTGTTAAAGTATGCAATTAACTGGTCTATCAAAATTTTAGTGAATGTATATTTGTGTGGAAGTCAATTGCTACTAGGAGGGTTGTCTCAACTGTATTTTATTTAAACAGGCTCATCTGCGGAAGGACATTTTTATATGAGGTACAGTGCTTTTATTTCTGTAAAATTTGCATATCTTTAAGAAAAATTTTTATAAACTACGTTTGGTGGTCAAAGAAAATTTGATTCTTGTTTTTAAAGATATCAAATTGTGGGCAAATTCAAGCAGCTTGTATTATATGAATTTTATCAATTGAATTTGATAGGGAAAATTAGATTTTTTCATTAAAACTTGTTTTGTGTCATTTTGGTACGTTCACTTTGGGCAAATGTAAAAAAAAATACCTTGAGATAAGCACACTGTAAGTTCAGGCAAAGTAGAGGCGGATCGGGGTACACAGGTAAAAATAAGCACAAAGGAAATAGAGTAATAGTAATCCGGACAGGCGACACTTAGTCTTCAGTAAATTTCAAAAGAGATAGATTACTTACCAAAGGGGGGGGGGGCAAAGTATGTTAAAAGATCCTTGCTCTGGTCATGAAAATCAAAAGGAATAATACTTGAATAAGGATAGAACATGAACAATGATTGAGTCACAATAGAGGGAATTTAATCAATGATCGCAAAAATATTACAAATACGTCACTGTAATATATGGATCTGCTATGCCAATATTTAAATTAAAATTTTTTTTTAAAATAATAGTATGCTTTATTTTTTTGCAAGCTGGTAAAAAAATAACAAAGTCAAAGTTATAGAAAGAATCGCGCAAAAAAAGGATTAGAAAACAGTTAAAACTGATCTAAGTTCTAATCCTGAAGAACTGAGTAATAGTATCATGTGTGAATAATACTTTGCGTATACTAAGATCTAAGAAGAGAAAATATAAAGCAAAAAAAAAAAGAATTGAAGTTACGAAAAGAGTTTAGATACATAGCACTTGATTTACGTTTGAGCACTAAATAAAAGCTGCTTGTAAACATATTTAAATGTAGGTTCTTCATTTCATTCTTAATAAGGAAGGGATCAACACGTAGTCGGAGAAATCAAAACAGGCTTCCGCAGAAACAACGGAGCTATAATTATAAAGTGACTATCAAACAAATGTAATAATTACAATTCAATCAACCAACCGACGAAAATAACCAAGTTTACCATTTAACTTCGGGTCGTCACCTTGTGAGCTCAAAAGGGCGCGTCCTGCAAATCTGTAACAGACAATAACACAAAAAACAATTAAATAAATAAATAAATAAGAGGAGTAGCGAATCGCGGTACACAAAAAATATTCCGAAATGGCAATGCGAACGTCCGACACGGAGGCAATCGTATGTAAAAACTGTAATTAATACTCAATAGGAATCAATAATTCTAATAATTTTACACTAGCACAAAAACTACGGGTTTCTTGTACAATATTGAATATGAAAGTATAAATTCAAGAAAAGTAGGTATTTTACGATGCATCCAAAATAAATTCATAACTAAATTAACTAAAAATCAGATGCACTTCAGGCACAAAATAATGTCGAAGTGTAGGTCAACTAAAGAGCATCTGCAAATGAATGGATTCAATATGATTAGGTATAAGGTGTATTTTGTACTGCAGAAATTTGCCGTAAGTATACTGTTATTAGTGTTTGATATTTCGTATGAAGTAATAAAATCAAGAATGAAATATACAGAGTGGTTTAACAAACTTCTTGTGCAAGTAGGTCACAGGTAGAATTGAAGCAAAATTTTTGTAGCCGGTAATGTAAAAACTCCTTTATGGCATTCTTGACTTGTTAAGATTGTACCTTTACAAATGCATTTTCCTTACACAATACTCAAGAATGTCGTTGTAGAAAGCACAATCAAGTAGGTAATAATAAAGAAAAGAGTAAGCCAGAAGTAAGAGGTAAGAAGTCTAAAAAAATGATTATTCAAAGTCAATGGTAATGCGTAATTGTTTTGTATACCGAAAACGGCCTTAAAACTTGTAAAATATATTCGCAAATGGGCAAACGAAGTGTTGAAAGCAAAATAACAATAGAAAAGCTTCACTAAACTTAAACAGCACCAATAAAAAATCCCAAAAAACGTCAGACAAACATTTTCAAGTAACTGTAATGGCCTGTACGTTCTTGAAAGTAATGAGCGAATCTCCTCTTTGTAAAACGAGGGATAAATTTACCACTGCACGACCTCAAGCGACGAAACAAATAGCTAATTGTAATAAGAAATCAAGTACAGCGAAAATAAAGAACTAAGGCAATGAGAAATCAACTATAACAATAATTTACATCTAAACTAGTGGATTACAAGGGGAACACCTAGATGGCGTAATATCAAACGGTAAGGAAATAGCGTTACAATGTTCAATAAAGAGCATCTCCAAATGAATGGATTCAATATGATTAGGTATAAGGTATATGTTGTACTACAAAAATTTGTCGTGTAAGTATACTGTTATTACTTTATTAGTGTTTGATATTTCGTATGAAGTAATAAAATCAAGAATAAAAATATACAGAGTGGTTTATTTATCGTGGACAGGTATATCGAGTGCCATTATTCAAATCGAGCCCAAAATACACCCATTGTTTTCCATTTAATTAACTGAGACTGTGGCTTGAAAGGTTTTCCTGTAGATGTAGCATGACACCACAATAATAACTTTAAAAAGCATAGAATCAAATTTATGCTGGAATGCACGAGCCGGTAACATAATACACGTTTCCTACTCGTATTGCCGCCACAGGCTTTAATCGACACTTATTAGTTATTATCAAGGTTGAATAAATAACACACAGTATCTTAAAATAGCATAACGCAACACATTATACTGCTCTGCTCTGAACTGAATTTCATTCTAAAATCTGGGGCGATATTCTTCGGTAAGTATAGAATACCGTGGTGGGATCTACTTTCCGAACCCCGCGTGTTACAAACCGGTCCTCTTTTTTCCCCTTTCCACTAGTAGCACAGATTAAAATACTTTGTGGTGTAGTACTTCTTCATTTTTTTATGACGTATTGCTTGTTGCAGGCTTCTAGACATAAAAGCAGAGGTTACACACGAGTGACAAGACAAACAGAGTGCACGTGATACGACGGATCTCGAGGTTCAGGTAGGTACCTATGTAAAATTGTACTTATAAAATCTTTATTTATATGAATCATACACAAAGGTTATGCGAAACAAGTAATACATTAGATATGTTTTGCTATTTCGCGTTTTTTTCGAAAACCCGAAAACAAAAATTTTCTTTTTTTTTGTTTGGAATGCTAGTCGCACACTGCGTGGTTCAAGTTCACACTAATCTTACTATACAAATGATAATGGTAGATAGTGTTTTATCCGCACATCATTTCCTCACAGTCTAACCATAAAAATTTGCTACGTTCTGCTAGCCAGATCTTTTAAATTATTTAGTTTAAAACAGTGATCACATAATTCATAATTTCGCTTACCACCGCGAACATAAATTACAACCCTTTTATTTTCAGCAATTTATGAACGACATAAAAATGCTTTTGAGGGTAGATACTTTAGCGAACATTTGGTGTATGATGTGGATTGTCCATGGTATAAGTGGTAAGTATTTTATTAAAGACTAAAAGATGTTAGGTATTATTTAAAGGTTCCGGTGCCAACGATTTACCACTAGTTCAAACTTCCCTAGGGAAAATTAGTGGATTTTATATGTCGTCTTTTGGCGGGCGTGTATTTTCTGCTTTTGAGGGCATTCCCTACGCAAAACCACCTGTTGGCGACTTACGGTTTGAGGTACTCTCAATGAAAATATTCCGGGACCTTTAATTTTTTTTAATTTAGCCACCACAGCCTGTTTTACCTTGGAAGGATGTGCTAAACGCTAACGCCCGCTACACTTGCAAGCAAGTGCGCTCATTTTTCTGGTATGATACGAATGGTAATTAAGGACTGCAAAATCTCTACGTTTCTAACTTAGTTTGTAGCTAGTGAAGACTGTTTATACTTAAATGTTTACGTACCTAAAAAGCAGCCAACAGAAAGTGACAATTACGACGTGATTGTCTACGTGCATGGGGGTGCCTTTATGGTAGGGGCTCCTTCATTTGGCGGTCCTAAGTACTTAATGGATCGTGATATCATATTCGTAAATATGAATTATCGGCTGGGTGTTTTCGGTGAGACTTCTTCAAAATTATCACTTTGTAATCAGGCGGCATGTTGCAGGATTTCTGACCACCGAAGACAGTGTTGTACCTGGTAACAACGGACTTAAAGATCAACAGCTCGCACTCAAATGGGTTCAAGAGCACATCAAAGATTTTGGTGGTAATCCCAGGTCTGTTACCTTGATGGGCTTATCAGCAGGTGGAGCTTCGGTTCATTTCCATTTCTTTTCGCCACAGTCCAAAGGTTAACTACCTCTCTGCGGGGTTTATAGTAACCGCTACGTTGCAGGATTGTTTCATAGGGGCATATCGCAAAGCGGGACTGTGCTAATGCCGTGGGCTACTCAAGAGAGCGGCCTAGAAAAAGCAAGAAAGTTGGCGAAGTCGCTAAATTGCCAAATTTCCAATAGTACACGGACTCTGATTAATTGTCTAAAGGCGTCATCCGCAGATGATCTCATTGTTAAAACAAGAGATTTCTACGATTTAGACAAATTTCCTTTAGCGCCGTTTGCTCCAACTGTAGAAGTAGAATCAGAATCTGCTTTTTTAACAAAGCATCCATACAAACAGTTGGAAGACGGTGACGTCTTGGACGTGCCATGGTTGACATGGATTACAACAGATGAAGGCATCTTAGGAGCAATGTGTAATACAATAGTATAACTGAGCGATTGATGTTATTTGATATTAATCGATAGTTCTGGTTAATATTTTGGACGAAACGGATAAAAACTGGAATGAGTGGTCTGAACATATGTTCGACTATAAACATGTCTGCGAAAAATCTAAGAAGCAAGATATTGCCCAGAAGATTAAAGAGTTCTATTTCCAAAATGAAACGGTGTGCGAAAGCAACATTAAATCACTAATTAAGGTGGGAACCTCGACTTAATTCCATTAATATTATGCTTAGTTTAGGTATTTGGCGACAGATTGTTCAATGTAGGTTTTGAAACAGCAGTTCATATGCAAGCGGATGCCGTCGAGTCTCCGATATACGCGGCTATATTCGCATTTAATAAATCTACTGCAACAAAGAAGGTTATGGGATTTCAACTGGAGGGTGACAAAATAATTTCACTCGAGCAATACTATTTTTCTAATCGTAGGTGTAGCGCACAGCGCGGAAGGCGTTCTTTTACATGAGCTGGAATTTCTCGAATCACCCATAAAGCTTACCGAACCTGAAGTCCTCATGAAGGACGTGTTAATTGATTTTGTTACGTCCTTCGCTAAGAATGGGTATTGACGTTTTTCAAACAGTTGTTTTCTCATTAAGATGCTTTTAGTAAGCCGGAGTCAATTGGTGTTAATTGGGAACCATTGTCTACTGAAAATCCTAAATATTTATTTATTAACGACAGCGATGCTATACAAATGGTAAAAATACCTGAATTGAGTCCTAAAGGCTTTTGGGAAAACTTGAATTTTATGGAAAACAAACAAGCTGAGCGATTACGAGATGAACTTTGAACGTTTCAAAACAGCCGTTGCAAGATAATTTTCCTGATAGTTATGAACATGTATTAAATAAATGAAATAAAAGATCGTGCTTTTGTTGTTGTTTACAAAGGGTTTATACTTATTTTTTGCGGCTTTTAGGAACATGTAGTAACTTAGGTCATTTTCATTTGCAGTTTTTTTCTCTTCGGCATTGGAAATTGAATCCAAAAACACAACTTAAATTATTATCTCAGTATGAGAGTGAGTGGATTTGGGGTAGAATGTAAGGCGGTAAATAGTCACTTTTACCAAAATTCTTCTTGTTAAAAATGTGAGTTATTCGTCATTTTGACCTCCATCTTGATTTGAGTCCTTACCAGCCGGAATTCGAGGTGGTGACAGGCAAAATCGGATATATAACTCTTCAATTATCTTAAATACATATAGTCTGGATGCCAAACTGGGATTTTTGGCTTAACCTGGAAGTGAGGTACGGTGAAGGTTTTTTGACGGCTTTTAGTTCGTAAGGATGTCTACTTTGAGAATCCGTTTGATGCCACCTTGACACCCTTGAGCATTTTGAGAAATTCAAGATGACTGCCAAGTCAGCAAAAAAAATACAAAAATTAAAGTTATAAAAAATATGGGCATATAGCACATTTATTTTAGGGTTTTCGGGCCTTTTGAATTCAAATCTGCTGTTAAAAATAGTTTTGGGGGCGTTTTGGTGAAGTGGGGGGTGTTTTTGGGGGGTTGGTTTTTATATTTTTTCAATATTAACGAGTCGTACATCGATTTATTTGTTTTTATGAATAAGAATCTCGAATTTGAGATCAAAATAGGTACTAAAACAGAAACTCCTATTTGTTAATTATTTTTTTGGGGGGAAGCTGTTTGAGGGGGGAAGCTGGAACTACTGAATAAAATAAAAAACAAACAAAAAATAGATCTATTAACTCAAACTCAAATACATTACTTACAGATATAATACATTTTTAAACAAAAAAATTACAAGCAAACAAAAAAATATTGCAGATAAACATAAATTTACTCGTTGTCCGATTCTTCGCTTTCTGATTCATTTTGCGCAGTTTCCACAAAATTTGTTAGTGGATTTTTACATTTATTTTCGTCCCTTTTATCCATCATGCATTTGCACATCAGGCTACATGACAACCCATTTGATAGACAACCACATCTGTTCGAGCTGCAGGGGTCATTAGCTTTTCAAGAGCATTTAGCAAGCTCTAGAATAAAATCTGGTGTCAATTTAGTATTTTGGGGACAGAAATTGGGTTTAAAATTTTGTTTTCGTCATCTTTTTCCATCCATATTGCGTAACATCAGTTTTTCACAGGCTTTCAGAATGTTTTGATTTATGTCCAATGTTCGTACAATATAAAATTCGTTTTAATCGGCTTGGGTTTTTAGGATCTTTTTCACGACATTTTTCGGTGCACAACAAGCAGTCTTCTCTAAAATCGAACGCACTAAATGATCGCAGATTACGCACTTCTGTTGGTTTAGATTCTTCTTGTCTCCTACTTTTTTTGAACAATCTGGCAATGTGGGTCTTGGATGTGTATGTCTACACACAAGAGCGATGACAATAAAATTCATAGGATCTCTGTCAGAACCCTAAATTGTAATTTGAATTTCCCCTCTATCAAATATATGTAGATCCAGGTATGCGCACAAGGTGATATGATACCGTCACGTTGTTTACTTCAATGTGAACAATTTTATAGTGCACATTGTTCATTAAATAAAAATAATTGAAATGTAAATTTCTATCATTGACAGGTTATGAGCCGCAATGTTTTCACTGCTACTTAATTAAATACTGAAAACAATGTCTACGAATATGAGCAATCAATTATTAATAACCGAGAAGTTGGAGGGCTCCTCAAACTATAATAATTGGAGTTTTTCCATGAAATTACTTCTTATTCATGAAGGATTGTGGGAACACGTCACCAAAGAAGATGTGAAACCTGATGAGAGGGCAGCAAATGAACGTGCCATGGCAAAGATTGGGCTACTTGTTAAATCTTCTCTGTACCCATATATCCAACCTTGCAATAATGCCAAGGAAGCTTGGGATGTCCTGGCTACCACGTTTGGTAGTACCGGCCTCATCTCACGTCTCAGTGTGTTGCGTCAGCTATTTCGTATAACACTGGAGGGTCGCACTCTTGATGAGTATGTAGCACTAGTTCTATCGCTCACGCTACAGCTATCTGCAATGGGCAAACCACTTGACGATGAATTCGTAGCAGTCATTCTACTAAATGGTTTAACTGAAGAATTTGATCCAATGGTAATGGCTCTCGAAAGTTCTTCTGCAAAAATCACTACCGACATAGTGAAGAACAAGCTACTACAAGAAGCGTCTCGCCGCAGTGCATCTAATATTGAAAGCCCGGATGGTACGGCATTTTCCACGCGATATGACCAACGCCGCTGTGATATCTGCCACCGTACGAGCCACAGCACTCAGCAACACCGAGGCAAGCGAAAAGGGAAGAAGAATACAGCACAAGCCACGTCAGGGACGTCGTCTGTGCCAGCCAGTTCCTCTCCGCGGTATAATCACCCCAACCAGACCAACCAGTCCAATCAGAAGAAGAAGTCGGCCAACAAAGTCGGCAATAGTAACACGCACGTGAGCTTCTTTACTGTTATGGCTGCTAATGTTACTACTACTGATTTTATCTTTGATACTGGCGCTAACATTCATGTTGTATCTAACAAACATTTATTTACAAATTTTGAATCTCGTACTATGCTAAACATTACTTTGCCTAATAATGAAACAGTCAAATGTCCTGGTAAGGGTGATGTCACTATTCCCATGGGTCCTAATTCTAGTATCACGGTCCATGATGCATATTTTGCTCCTAGTTTCTCAGCTAATCTCATTTCGGTTAGCCAACTTGTAGCAAAAGGACACACTGCCACGTTCACAAGTGATGGCTGCCAGATTCATTCACCAGAAGGTATTGTAGTCGCCACCGCCACTCTTAGAGATGGAATCTACGTACTGGATCGTCCTTCTACTAAGCACATGATACGTCAGGCTACAAATGAGCAGCAATCACAACCTACTGAGACTATACATGCTATTTCAAAGCCTCAGCAGTCAAATGCTCGTGCCAATGCTGTCCAACATTCTCATGATATTTGGCATTCACGCCTAGCTCACCTCAATCATCGTAGTATGAGATTGCTACGCAACGGTCTCGCTACAGGAGTTAACTACCCTAATACTCCACACGACCCTTGTATTCCTTGTATTGAGGGAAAGCAAAAGAGAGTACCTATACATCGCGAGAAAGGTACTAGGGCAACAGAATTACTCGAACTTGTACACACTGATATTGCTATTGTGAATGTGAGTTCACTCAACGGCGCGACGAGCGCAATCCTGTTTGTCGATGATTATAGCCGAAAAACCTTCATTTATTTTATGAAGAAGAAGTCAGAAGCTTTTGCTAAATTCTGCGAATTTCAGGCATTCGTCGAGAACCAAACCGGAAAGCGGATCAAAACTCTTCGCTCCGACAATGGGGCTGAGTACTTCGCCCATGACTTCCAGGATTATCTGAAACAGCATGGAATCAAGCATCAATCCAGTGTGAAGTATCATCCAGAACAGAATGGAGTCGCCGAGGCATGTTGTCGTTTAATTTTTACAAAGGCACGCTGCATGTTGCTTCATGCAAATCTACCAAATGCCTATTGGGCGGAAGCCGCCAGCACGGCTGTGTATATTAAGAACCGCAGTCCGTCGGGAGCTGTTCCGAACAATACACCAGATGGCGTATGGTCTGATACTGTTGTAGATTTATCTCATCTCCGTGTATTCGGATGCCTTGCTTATGAGAGGAAGGATATTAATCGGAAGAAGCTAGAATCCCGATCACAGAAATTGATTTTCGTCGGATATTCTGAGACACAGAAGGGAGGTTATCGCTTAATTGACCCCATCGTCCTAAATCGTTAACTGTAGGCAGAAATGTCGTATTTCTGGAAGACCACTTCTTTCACGCCATTCCAGAGACCGCACCAGTCAACGAAGATCGCAAGAGTCTCGTGTGTGTTCCTCTGACGTCGCCGCCTACCGTTCAGACGCGAAAGGGGGGACATCAAGCTCAGCCCACGCAGACACAGCTGCAGTCACCTGAGCATCGCCCGAGCAACAGTCGAGCAGTTACGCTGCCTGTACGTTCGGAAGCGTCATCAGAATTCGAGGACGAGCAAGAATCGCCCGTCACAATTGCCCTAAGGAAAGCATGTTCTTCAGATAGTCCACTAATCGACTCAAGTGAGTACCTGCCATCTGATGAAGATTCAGAAGACTCAGATGTAGCTGACAAAGATTCTCCTTACAAAACCAGAGGCAACGTCAACCTAGTGACTGAAAGCATCGTGATGGCCTCTATGCTGAATGAGAATGAACCAACCACAGTGAGGAACGCACTCAACCGCCGAGATAGACATCAATGGTATGAATCCATGAAAGCAGAAATCAACGCAATGAATGAAAATGAAGTGTGGAGTCTTGTGGAAAAGCCCAAGGATCAGCAAGTTCTTGGATGTAGATGGGTGTTTAAAATAAAAAGACACTCAGATGGTACCATTGAGAGGTACAAATCACGGCTAGTAGCGCAAGGCTATAATCAGGATACGACATCAATGGAAACCTACTCCCCCGTGATGCGATATAGTACACTCAAACTATTATTCGCTTTGGCCATTGAAAATAATCTGAGCCTGAGTCACTGGGATGTCACCTGTGCTTTCCTACACGGGGAACTGGAATCGCCTGTCTACATGCGGCAACCCGAAACTTTCGAAGACGGAACCGATCGAGTGCTTAAATTGCACAAAGCTCTCTACGGTTTGAAGAACGCAGGGCGTCGGTGGTACCAGAAACTTACAGATTTTCTCCTATCAGTAGATTTTAAATCCTCTGATATTGACCCCTGTGTGTTTACTCTTAAGAAAGGAAATAGCTTAGTAGTAATTGGAATTTGGGTTGATGACCTTGTTGTATTAAGTAATGACCAACTTCTTGAAAAATTTGTCAGAATTGAAATAACTAATAAGT